GACAAAAAAATCGAATAAAAGAACCCAATATATAAACAAAATGTGGTGTGACGCAGCATTTCAGAAGTTGAGTAATTATGCCATTTCAAATTATTTAATTCAAAATTTTGCAAAACAACAAATTTAAATATGCCGCTGATGATGAGAAGGGGGTGACATACATACATATATAGGTGACGGCATCAAAGGGGGAATTCTCTCTCCTTCTTCCTCTTGGTTAATATGTAAAAATAATTTTTTGTAATTGAAAATGTGCGGCAGTAGCCATGGGGGGCCCAAAGTGAATCACTTTTTTCAAAAACATATCATGGCATGAAAAAATCAAACAATGACTCTACACAAATAAAAAGGGCCATAAATCAAATTTATTTGTTTTACTGCTAATCAGAGCATTAATAGGAACGATAAAATGTTGGCTACAACAATTGTATGAAATGGTTAATAAACAAGGCCAACAGCTGTTAACCATTACACAACATTTGTAGGCTTAAGTCTACTTAAGGGCTCCCTCGAGGATTGTTTTGAAATTTTTACCACATGTAGTCCTTGGGTGGAACAAGTCTAGTTTAGGGCCCCCTCCCGGATCGTTTTGAAATTTTTACCACATGTAGTCCTTGGGGCCCTGATTACAGCAGTATACTTTTTTTCTTGCAGAAATCGGTATTTCCAGAGATATAGGCCTCCAAAGTTCTCGTAATTTTTTAAACTTCACTAAGGCAATATGGGTATCATTTTAAAGCATTTGAATTGATTACAAAGTTTTTTTCTCCTATGGACAGATGGCAACACCGGCTACGCGACAGAATGTATTTAAGCTTTAAAATGATACCCATATTGCCTTGACCAATATTACACAATAACAACATGGAAGGTACTTACCGGATTTTTGAGACCTATATCTCAGAAGGTATGAACCTTTTTAATATGAACATTACATTTTTGTAATCAGGGCTTCAAATGCTTTAAAATGATACCTATATTGCCTTAGTGAATTTTCACAAATTACGTGAAAATTATCAGTTCCAATCTTTTTTGGAGGCCTATATCTTTGTCAATACCGATTTCCGCAAGAAAAAAAGTATATTGCTGTAATCAGGGCCCCAAGGACTACATGTGGTAAAAATTTCAAAACTATCCGGGAGGGGGCCCTAAACTAGACTTAAGCCGTATTTTTACCCAAATTATGGGGATATATTTTTTTCTTGGGGGACGTACACGGTTACCCAGTTATTTGGCCTGTAAGTTGGGGTACCCGGTTATATCCGGTTCAATGGATCTCCAAAACGGTTTGATATAACCCCATCATATTACCACTCAATGGAATGGTATATATCCTTTACTTCTGGAAAAAAAAAAAATCTGATCGTTTTTACTAAACTAGTGTTGTTCCCTTTTTTCTTACGGAAATCGGTATTTTCGGAGATATGGGCCTCCAAAGTTCCGTTGGGATCCTTATATCTTCTCACGGTTTTTATAACCTTCACCACACTGTGGTACAGCGTATTATGTTTTTGTGCATATGTTTGTAACAGGCAATAAGAAACGAGATAGACCCATGGTTCCTTTTGGCGATATGTATAGAATCACGTTCTGAGTCGATTTATGCATGTCGTCCATCCGTCTGTTGATGTTAAATTGTAAAGAAAGTACAGGTAGCATTTTTGATTCGAATTGGATGAAATTTGGCACAGTTCATTTGTTTGGCCCAAGGACGAACACTATTGAAATTGGGAAAAATCGGTTCAGATTTAGATATAGCTCCCATATACATTTTCGTCAGATTTTATGTAAATGGTGCACCAAAGTCCTTATATATCATTCGATTTGCACGAAATTTAGCACAGAGCACTTAATTGTGTCTAGAACGATGTGTGCTAAATCGGTTCAGATTTAGATATAGCTCCCATATATAGTTCGTCCGATTTTAGGAAAATAGCGCACCAAAATTCCTTTATATCCTTTAATTTGCACGAAATTTGGAACAGCGTACGGAGTTAAGTCTATAGTGATGTGTGCTGAGTTTCGTGAAAATCGGTTTAGATTTAGATATAGCTCCCATATATATATATATTCGTCCGATTTTAGGAAAATAGCACACCAAAATTCCTTTTTATCCTTCGACTGGCACGAAATTTGACATAGCGTACGGAGTTAAGTCTATAGTGATGTGTGTTAAGTTTCGTGAAAATCGGTTCAGATTTCGATATAGCTCCTATATATATTCTTATCCGATTTTATGAAAATAGCGCACGAAAGAACCTATATGTCTTTCGATTTGCACGAAATTTGGCATAGTGTACTGAATAAAGCCTGGAATGATTTGTGCTGAGTTTCGTGAAAATCGGTTTAGATTTAGATATAGCTCCCATATATATTTTCGTCCGTTTTTAGGAAAATAGCGCACCAAAATTCCTTTATAGGGTTTAATTTGCACGAAATTTGGCACAGCGTACGGAGTTAAGTCTATAGCGATGTGTGTTAAGTTTCGTGAAAATCGATTCAGATTTCGATATATGTAGCTCCTATATATATTCTTGTCCGATTTTATGAAAATAGCGCGCCAAAGTACCTATATGTCTTTCGATTTGCACGAAATTTTGCATAGTGTACTGAATAAAGCCTGGAATGATTTGTGTTAAGTTTCGTGAAAATCGGTTCAGATTTCGATATAGCTCCCATATATATATGTTCATCCGATTTAATGTAAATGGGGTATCAAAGTCCCTATATATATTTCGATTCGCACGAAATTTGGCACAGCGTACGGAGTTAATTCTAGAGTGATGTGTGTTAAGTTTCGTGAAAATCGACTCAGATATAGATATATCTCTCATATATATTTTCGTGCGATTTTATGTAAATGGTGCACCAAAGTCCTTATATATTATTCGTTTTGCACGAAATTTGGCACAGAGCAGTTCATTGGGTTTAGAATGATGTGTGCTGAGTTTCGTGAAAATCGGTTCAGATTTAGATATAGCTCCCATATATGTTTTCGTCCGATTTTTCTGTAAATGGTCCACCAAAGTCATTATATAACGTTCGATTTGCTAGAAATTTGGCACAGTGCACTTAATTGAGTCTAGCTTCCATATATATTTTCGCCCGATTAAATGTAAATGGTGCACCAAAGCCCCTATAAATTTTCCGATTGGCACGAAATTTGTCAAAACGCACTATCCGATTTTAACGAAACTTTGTATAGCCTATTATCTTTACCAAGACTAGATAAAGTTTGAAGATGGGACACACTAGTCCATTCTTTCTGGTACCTCTCCCACAGAGGGTCAAAAATTCAAGTTTGAAGATGAGACCCATTGGTCCACTCTTTCCGGTACCTCCCCCACAATATGTGCTATAAAATTAATTTTATAATAACATGCAAACAACGGTCTATCCGATGTTAATGAAACTTTGTACAACCTATTATATTTATCAAGCCTAGATAAATTAGGAAGATGGGACCCATTGGTCAACTCCTTTTAGTACCTCCCCCACAAATGGTCAAAATTTCCAATATTTTTAAATCCAATCCAATAAAAATTGAATGTCTGATTTGAAACCAAACCTTGCACAACCTATTATCTTTGCCAACCCTAGATAAAGTTTAAAGATGGCACCCATTGGTCCACGCCTTCTGGTAGCTTCCCCAGAAAATGGTAAAAATTTTCAATATTTCTAAATCCAATATCAGGCGAATGGAATGTCCGATATGAACGAAACTTTGCACAACCCATTATCTTTACTATGTCTAGATTAAGTCCAAAGATGGGAGCCAGCAGGTCAATCCTTCCGGTACCTTCCTCACCAATGGTCAATATTTTAAAAAATGTCATCAACATTAAATCCGAAACCTATTTGATAAAAACCTATTTCTTATATAAAGCTAATAATAAAATTTGTGTCTAATTCCGAAGACCTCCGCAAACCATAGGCTGGGGGTAATTATTATTATTATTATATTATTTCCAGAATCAACCCGGCGTGAATTTTGAACAGAATATTTTTTAAGAGACCAAGATTTTGTATTATTCAAATGTAGGCATTTTTAACCCCTCTTCAGTTCGACTTTAACTATCCCTCTTCTGGTATATTATTCATATTTTCTTATTTATTTATAGTTTTTTTATATCTATAATAATTTGAACCATTTTCCCTCTCTTTCCAGCTACTTCCATACGATCAACAGCAAGCAACAATCGAACATTATTAGTTCAGCAGCAGCCCTCGTCCATATAACCCCCAGAATCGTTGCCTGTGAAAAGATCTAAGCTTATCAGAAGATTATCAAAAAAAGAAGTCCCACAGAAGTGCGACGAGATACCGAACAAAAAGTAGTATCTCAAATTTGCTGACGAGAGAGAATATCGAAAGCAAACCCTCCCTCCTCCAATCCCAGAAGAAAAGGACAAGGAAAACATTGAGAGAAAGAAAAAAGACAAAGAGATAGAGGCTCGCTTTATTTAAAAAAATAAATATTTTCCTTATCAAAGGAATAAAAAAATCTATGCTCAATTTTTTTCAAAGAAAAAGAAAAGCCAATCAACGATCGATTGAACAAACGTCTCAAAGAAGAAAGACTTCAAGAAACAAGGAAAGTGTGAAAATAAGGACAAATCAAGAAGTAGAAGAGGAAATCGAAAACCAATCAAAGTACAATAATTTAATTGGATATCCAGAATCCCAGAAACAAAAAAACTTCAATCTAAAAAAATTATCTACAAAACAAAAAAAAACCTTTTTGCTGAAACTTATTGTGTTCAATTAGAGAGAAAAACTACAAAAACAACAACAACAACACCTTCGTACTTTTTTATAAACCAAAAAAAAAATTAAGAAAGAAAAACAATTAATAATAAACAAATTATTACAAAAACAACAACAAATCCAAGCCACCACAAGTAGTTCCGTACACCAAACCCCACCACTTTCCTGCCCTTCAGCACCACCACACCCTCTGTGCTGCCCACATGGCTACGGATTATAAAACCTCAACAAAAATGCTTAACCACACTACTACAAATGCTGATGCAGCAGCCACCACAGATGTGGATGCCACATCGAAAATGGGGGACATAACCATCACCACCACCACCCCCCTCATAACTAAGACCAGCCTACCTCCCGCCGCCAATTGTACAACGAACAACAGCGGCAGCACCACCAACAACAACAACAATAAAACCCGTCTCAATGGCAGCATCTATCAGCCATTGTCGACGGCCACACCGCTCAGTTCGAAAACCGAGGACACGATCTCGGCCAAAACCACCACCCCGCTAAATAAATCCATCAAACATGACCTCTTCCCGGAGGTGACCTTCTGTAATCTCTCCAGCGAGGATTTGACGGAACGCAACACCTCCTCACGCCTGCTCAAGAACAGCGTCATCAACATAAGCGATACGAATGGTGGTGCCCTGAACGGCTCCTCCCTGGCCAATGGCAACAATGTCAAGAAGCGGAAACGTTTGATATCGAATGAATCGGGAGATTCCATAGAGTCGGGTTTGAGTGAGAAAAAGAAACCTGAAATGCCCGATGGTGGTTACGGCTGGGTGGTGGTTTTCGCCTCCTTGGTCGTATCCCTAATCGCCGATGGCCTGTCATTCTCCTTTGGCCTGATCAATACCGAACTTTTGGATTATTTCGGTGAAAGTCCCTCGAAGACTGCCTGGATCAGTTCCCTATTCTTCTCGGTGCCGCTGCTAATGGGACCCATCTGGTCGAATTTGGTGGATAAATATGGCTGCCGTAAAATGACCATCATTGGTGGTCTAGTATCGGCCATTGGCTTTGGCCTCTCGTCCATTTGCAATTCCGTCGAAATGCTCATGGTCACCTTTGGCATCATTTCCGGCCTGGGCCTTGGCATAGGCTATGTGACGGCCGTAGTTTCCATCGCCTTTTGGTTCGACAAGAAAAGGACATTTGCCACCGGCATCGGTGCCTCGGGCACCGGTATCGGTACCTTCCTCTATGCCCCGCTGACACAATTGCTGATAGACAACTACGGCTGGAGAGGTGCTACCCTGATATTGGCCGGCACCATGCTGAACGCCTGTGTCTGTGGTGCCCTGATGCGCGATCCCGACTGGTTGATTGAGGAAAACCGCCTGGAGAGTCGTTCCCAAAGTGTGACGACATTTTCAAATTCCAGTGTGTGTCTGGAGGAAATCAAGAAGCTATTGGACACGGGTGCGACCAAGGAATATGTTCTCGATACTTTGGTAACGAAAAACAACACGGAGGCAAATCAACAAATCGATGATCCCCATGAGGGTCACATGAAAAAATATCGCAGTGAGCTATTCCTACCCACCTTCCTCGGGTCACAAGACCTCGATTTAGACCTGTACGAAGTGAAAAGTATGAGTCGCCGTTCATTACGTCACAAGGAAGGGGCTGAGGCTCCATCTCGGGAAAATCTCCTGAGCATGTCATCAGCCGGCAATCCCTATATGAACACCACGGCAGCTGTGATTGGTTCCCCCGACGACACCATGATGGGTGGCATACCCTCAGAGGTTGCGGAAAATGCCAAGCGACACATCCTCGCCTCCATTGAAACCCTTTCACCCTCCGAGAAACGTTCCTCCAATGATATACCTCGCACACCCATGAACACCTCCCTGGCTTCGTTGCGCTCATCCACCGATGAGGGCTACCTCACGCAAAAATATTCCCGTGAACACAACAATCACTCGGTCGATCACTATGCCATATCCCGCTACTCGCTCAACGAGAACATTTTCTTTGCTGCCAAAAACATTTCCGCCTCCTACAAGGATCTACGGGTCAATGGGTATCGTCACAATTCCGTTGATATTCTCAATCCCGAGGTGCATTCATATTTTAGCTGTGCTAAAGATGAAGGTAATGCTGCTGCAGCGGCCCTCATAGAGGCCAATCTACGTAAACACAATGAGCTGTCCGGAATCGGTGGTGGTCCGGCCATCATACAAATTCCTGAAAATGAAACATTACTCTCCGGTGGAGAACAACAGCAAACGAATAAAACTCTGCTGAAAAGGACGCGCACGGATAGTATCACCGGAATGCGACGCTTATCGAAGTCACGCAAGCCAACTTATCGTTCAAATTTGCGACGCAACATTTCGATACGAAATTCGAATTTCCTCAAGGATATGCGTGTCCATCGGACATCGATAAATTATCGAGGTGCTATGCTGAATACACATCGTTATCGGTTGAGAGCTTCATCGTGTCCGAATATCTATCGGAATTCAATGACCACCATTGCCAAGGAAGATGAAGATGTAAGTGGAGATTTTTATAAAAAAGTATATCAATTTAAAAACATTTTTTTAATTAAGAAACCAGTAAGGAAAGTAGTAAAGTCGGACTGGGCCCTTCACCACTTTGGTTATATTCTACATATGTATCCTAGCAGACGGCGCATTTTTGTTATATATTTATATCTGAACCGATTTCAGGGTAACTTGCCAGAGACTAATTTATATTATTTCAGTACGTTGTGTCAATCGGTCTAGCTATGGTACAGTACATAAAATCGGACGAGAATATATATATGGGAGCTATATCTAAATCTGAACCGATTTTCACGAAACTTTGCACACATCATTCTAGACTTAATTCAGTACGCTATGCCAAAATTCGTACAAATCAAAAGATTTCCAGGGCCTTTGGTTCATCATTTACCTAAAATCGGGCGAAACTATATATGGGGGCTATATATTAATCTGAACCGATTTTCATGAAACTTAACACACATCATTTTAGACCTCATCCATTACGCTGTGCCAAATTTCGCGCAAATCGAAACATATATAGGGTCTTTGGTGCACCAATTACCTTAAATCGGATGAACATATATAGGGGAGCTATATCTAAATCTGAATAGATTTTCACGAAACTTAACACACATCATTCTAGACCTTATTCAGTCCGCTATGCCAAATTTCGTGCAAATCAAAAGATTTCCAGGGCCTTTGGTTCATCATTTATCTAAAATCGGGCGAAACTATATATGGGAGCTATATCTAAATCTGAACTGATTTTCATGAAACTTTGCACACATCATTCAAAACTTAATTCTGTACGCTATGCCAAAATTCGTGCAAATCAAAAGATTTCCAGGGCCTTTGGTTCATCATTTACCTAAAATCGGGCGAAACTATATATGGGAGCTATATCTTAATCTGAACCGATTTTCATGAAACTTACCACACATTGTTATGGACGCAGTTCAGTACGCTGTGCCAAATTTCGTGAAAATCGAATGATATATAGGGACTTTGGTACACCATTTACGTTAAATCGGACACCATTACGTTAAATATGGGAGCTATATCTAAATCTGAACTGATCTTCACGAAACTTAGCACACATCATTCTAGACCTCATTCATTACACTATGCCAAATTTCGTGCAAATAGAAATATATATGGGGACTTTGGTACACTATTTACCTTAAATCGGACAAAAATATATATGGGAGCTACATCTAAATCTGAACCGATTTTTCCCAATTTCAATAGGGTTCGTCCTTGGGCCAAACAAATGAGCTTCGCCAAATTTCATCCAATTCGGATCACAAATGCGGCCTGTACTTTGTTTAAAATTTAATCTACAAAAAACGAGGGTTTAAAAATATTTTTTAAATCCAAATTCTTCAAAAAAATATTATTTAAAAAATCCACGCCTTGTGAATTGTTGAAAATATATTTAAAATTTTAAGATTATTTTCTTTTCTCACTCTCTTATTTTTCTCTTTTCCAGACATGGTATGACAATCTCATCGATACAATGAAATCGGTTTTCGATTTCTCCCTATTTAAGGATATTAAATTTACGTTATTTAATTTATCAACATTATTCCTATTTATTTGGTAAGTATTGGAATTTTCCTAACGAATATTTGAAAAAAAAATTAATTATTTTGTTCTTTTTTTCAAAAATTCCAGGTTTATTATACCCTATCTTTATTTACCGGAATTTATGAGAAAATATGACTACGATGCCAATGATAGTGCCCGTTTAATATCCGCCATTGGTGTGGCCCAGACAATCGGCATGATCGGTTTGGGCTACATTGGTGATTGTTCCTGGATGAATGTCAATGTTTGCTATTCCGGTTGTATGCTGAGTAGGTTTAAAAAAAATTCTTTTAATTTCAAATATTTTTAATAAAATTGTTGCTTTTTTTCTATTCAACAGTATGTGGCCTTTCGGTGGTATTGATGCCGCTGGTGGTAACCAGTTATAATCTTCTGCTAACCCTGTGCATCATTTTCGGTTTCACCTTTGCCAGCTCATTTTCATTTACGCCTAGTATTTTGGTTAGTATAGTTGATCTAGACGATTTCACCTGTGCCTATGGTCTGGTACTGTTGGTGCAGGGTGTTGGCATGATTGCCGGTCCGCCAATAGCTGGTGCTATTTTTGAGGCAACCTTAAGGTGGGTAGTTGAATATTTTTTTAATTTTATTAATTAATTTTTATTTTTAATTTTTGTTTTCTTTTTTGCGAATTTTACAGATGGGATGACACATTTTATTTTGCTGGCGTTTTTATAGCCTTGTCAGGTATTTCCTCATATCTGATCGAATTCTGTGAAAAGAAAGTCAAAGAAAGTGATAGCGATGTTTCTGAATTGAAGAAAATTAACCTCATACATTAATAAGTTTGTAAGCGAAAAAAACAAAAAACACAAAAACAAAAATCACAAAGAAAAAAACTAAACTAAAAAATCTAAAACTAAACAAAATTTAAACACCTTATATAAAAAATAATAATAATAAAATTAAAACAACAGCATAAAAACAAATTAATTATAAAAACAAACAAAAAACTAATGTCGATTATTATTCAAAAAGAAAATAGCAAAGCAAAAACTTTATATAGTTAGTTATTAGCAAAAAAATGGAAATCCTCCTCCCTCACACACACACACACACACACACATTTCATACTATTACACACTCTCCCCTTCATACACATTTAAATTTAGAAAAATAAAATAGTAAACCAATCAATTAATTCACAAAAAAAGTTAAGTAGTTCTTAGAAAATTATCTTTATAACTTGGCATATTGTCATCATAGATTAAAAAAATAACTAAGCGGAAATTTGATTTCGATAAATTTTTGATAAAAAAATGATAATACCAATCAATTTTCTGCCAAAAAGATGGCCACAAACTATAAATACATTTTTTTTAATCTCCATTTTTTTATCGTCAGTTTATCGAAATCGAATTTTGCGCAGAATTTTTCAATGAGTGATAATATGAAAATATTAGATACTATACATAGATTTATAAAAAAAATTCCTTATAAAAAAAGAAAAGAAAAAAAAAAATACACACACACTTACAGTTAAGGAAGAGCATAGCTAAAATACAAAAATCAGACCCAGTTACAACAAATAATAATTGCAGAAATGTATTTAAAAAAAATAATAATTATAATATTCAAGAAATTAAAAAGAAAATATTTTTTCAAGAATTTACATGGTGTGGATTTTTTAAAACATATATATATATATATATTTTTTTTTTTTTGAGAATACGCAAGGCATGGATTCTTAAAAAATATATTTTTTTAATATTCTGCAAATGACAAGGATTAAAAAAAATCTTAAGATCTACACATGGCGTGGATTTTTTAAAAACTATTTTTTGAAGGAATCACAAAGCGTGGATTAAAAAAATATATATTTTTTTAATCACAATGCGAGTATTTTTTAAAAAAACATATTTTCCAGATCTACACAAGGCGTGAATAATATAAAAAAGTAGTAAAAAACATTTAAAAAAATCCATGCCTTGTGCGGGTTAAAAAAAACAATGTTTTTTTTAACCCGCAATGGATTTTTTTAAATGTTTTTTTTTAATTCTACACTATTTTTGGGATATTTACAGGCCGTCAATTTTATTTTTTTCAAGTCATGTAGTTTTCAAATATATTTTTTAAGAATCCATTTAAAAAAAAAACAGTGAGCAGAGTAGTATAGTCGGACGAGGCCGGCCATACGATACCCTACACAACTACCAGGGAACTCTAACATTCTGCGGATTTTTATTCCGAACCTGGGCAATATTTCGTAATAGTTGCTCCTTCTTGCCTGATTAGAGGTCACCATTTCCTTACACTGACATTTTTTTCGAATATAACTAATATTCAGTACAGTCCTTCTAATTACTTCGGAATATAAATGCGGCCTCAAAAAAAAAAAAAAAAAAAAACACACACACACACAAACACAAAAAATTAGTAAATGAAAGGTGTTGTTATTGACCATAGCTGGAACCTCATGGACCATTTCAAAACGATCACCGTTATATTTCCGCCCAGCAATGTGATAATGGTTTACTAAATAATTAATCCTGAAATTATTTACGTGTAACTCCAACATCTGAGTACATACGACCAAATATTTGGTATCAATATAAAGGTCAAACACTCCTCTTGGATACACTATCCATTTCTCGAGTCTATGTTCATCAGGGACAAATATATACGCCATGGAATATACATTTTGTGATTTTTTCACACAAAAGTCAGGGTCTATTTGAAACAGGCACGCTTACTCTTTAGCCCGATTCCGTTCTCAATGTACGATTTCGCGATGTTCGAGCCATAATTGAGGCCTCTGAAGCGACCAGAAAAACGGACAAAAAAAAACGGATTTAAGTTAAATTCATCCCCTAAATATTAACGGATCTTTACCAAAAACAATAGGGGTCTTCATTGGCCAGAATCTATCCTACATGCAAAATTTCGTCCATAACTGTGACCTGTATCGTGTTTACAAATTATAATGGACGGACGAACGGACACTCATGTATAGATCGACTCAGCTAGTCGAGATATGACGATCGGTATACTTAAAGGTGGGTCTAGGACCAATATTTCGCGGCGTTACAAACTCTTGGGGCTGCACAAAGCTATAATACCCTGACAACATAGTTGTGTAGGGTATAAAAAAATAGGAAGAATTGTTTTTTTAGAGAATTATATGCCCGGCCAATTTTCAAATAAAGAATAAAAATAAATTTTGTAACGAATACTAATTGTTTTAATTATTATTCGATTTATTATTTTAATATACAAAAATACAAATTTTTCAAACAAAAAATACAGTATCTCCCTGGATTTTTTTTTTTGAGGATATTTATATCTCATTATGTATTAATTCTATTAATTATATGTATGTAATTATACAATTTTTTTACATCAAAATCCTTTCAAATTTGTCACATTTATATTTACCTCGAATATATCTAAAAACAATTTCGAAATATTTCCAGGAACTGGGTTATTTATAAAACTTGAATATTTTTTATATTTTTTTTTTCATATTTGCATTCTTGTTTTGAATTTAAAAAAGGAACAATTCTATATACAATAGTATTATAACATATATATATATATATATATAACATATATATTTTTCCCCAATAAAATATTAAAAATAAAAATCTGGAAATCCACATAATTCACCCATATATCCCACTCTAGCTGCTGCTCTTCCCCTCCACCACCCCTTATTATTAAGTAGTGAACAAAACTTATTATTATTTTTTTTTTAGTTTTTAAATTTATTAAACAAAATTTTTTTGTCGGAAAATAAGTTTTTCTTTTTGAAATTTATTATCTTATATATATACACACATATATTCTCTCCTATATATATACATACATTGTACAGTATATTATAATTAATTAATTACAATTAATTCTATATAAATACATATATCTTATGATAAGTTAAAATAGTCTAATTTTTATTATTAAATTCTATATATTTCTTTTAGGTTTAAAAAATGAAATCTTAATAACTAAGTTTTAAAATAAATCTTTATTATTTCTTTAGGCAAAAAAATAAAAATAAATAAACTTTAATTTAAAAAAAATAAGTAAACATTTAATTACAAAAAAATGAAAAAAAATTAAATACTTTTAATTATTTAGGTTAAGTTATTTAGTTATTGTTGTTTCGATTCTTAAATAAAAAACAAAATATTTGAATAAAAAAAAAACACAAAAATACAATGCTTAAAAACCAATTAAATGTTTTTTATTTAGACGAACTGAAGGCAGTCTTTATAGACAAGCTGAAGAGGACATCTTCACAGGGAAGCTAAAAACGGAATCTTTTTAGGATAAAGACATGCTTATGGACGAACTGAAGGTAGCTTTTCTTGTCAAGTGAATGGGGTTTTTCATAGACAATCCAAAGGGAGACTTTATAGACGAAAGCCGAATGGAATCCTTATATGTGAGATCTGAAGGGAGTCTTTATAGACGAACTGAAGAGGTACTTCTGCTAGGAATCTTTACAGACGAGTTTTAGGTTACTTTACAGACTGCCAGGAGAGGTATTTAAAACTGAAGGGCGTCATTATAGACTAGCTGATGTGTCCTGATGACATGACCTGCAATCCTCTATAGATTTCCAAAGAGGAGATTAAGAACAACTGTGTGGTTGTAGTCATAATAAAACACAATCTCGACAATAGCGACATCTATACACGATTTTTTGACACTATGAGCTATGACTATGACACCTAGATGGCGACATGCGATTTAAATTCTAACGGTTCCTTTCGCAGTTCTATTTTTTATACCCTCCACCACTGTGGTATTATGTCTTTGTCCGATTAAATATTAAGTGTACACCAAATATCTTTTGATTTGCCCGAAATATGTCATAGCGAACTAAATTAAGTCTATAGTGATGTGTGTTAAGTTTCGAGAAAATCGGTTAAGATTTAGATATATCTCCCATATATATTTTCGTCCGATTTTAGGAAAATGGCGCACCAAAGTCCTTATATATCTTTCATATATACGAAATTTGACATAACGTACTGAATTGAGTCTAGCGTGATGTGTGCTAAGTTTCGTGAAAATCGGTTAAGATTTAGATATAGCTCCTATATATATTTTCGTCCGATTTAAGGTAAATGGTGTATCAAAGACCCTATATATCTTTCGATTTGCACGAAATTTGGCATAGAGTAATGAATTAAGTCTAGAATGATGTGTGATAAGTTTCGGGAAAATCGGTTAAGATTTAGATATAGCTCCCATATATATTTTCGTCCGATATTAGGAAAATAGCGCAACAAAATACCTATATATTCTCGATTTGCACGAAATTTGGCATAGCGTACTGAATTAAGTCTATAGTGATGTGTGTTAAGTTTCGTGAAAATCGGTTAAGATTTAGATATAGCTCCCATATATATTTTCGTCCGATTTAATGTAAATGATGCACCAAAATCCCTACATATCTATCGATTTGCACCAATTTTCGCACAGCTTATGGAATTAGGATTAGAATGGTGTGTGTCAAGTTTCGAGAAAATCAGTTCAGATTTAAATATAGCTCCCCCATATATATTCCAAAATTCTTTCACACCTTTGACATAATGCAAATTTTCACTTATATAACACAAGTTTATGTATGTATTGTCAATATGGAATAAAACTTTGGTCTTTCCTCGAACCATGAGTGCAAAATTTATGAAAATCGGTTGAGTAGTCGCTGAGATATTTGCATGTTTGCATTGAACGATGTTCCCGGAATATTCTTAATGTTCGGCGCCTAAAAGTATGCTATTATTTTTATTACAAACCAGCAGCAACAGCCACGATCAAAGAAAAATTGCCATTTTTAAACATTCATTTTTAAGTGGTTTTCCATTTTCAAGTAATAGGCGCCCAGCACCGAACAGTAGACATATTTCGGAACATGGTTCAATTCAAATGCAAATAACTCAGCAACTACTTAACCGATTTTCAAAATGTTTGCACCAATGGCTCGAGGGAATTCCAAAGTTTTATTCCATATTGGCAATCTGTACTAATGAAGGAATAAAGATAGTGACTGACTGACTTAATGATTCATCAACGCCCAGACGAAACGGCTGGAGCTAGAATCTTGAAATTTGGGGCGAGGTTCACTTTTGGTCCAAAAGGGTCAGATAAGGCTGGGTTTTTGGAAATTTTTACCAAAACAGCACGAAAAGTATTAAATAGCACTAAATGTGGTACCATTCTGTATTTGGCGAACCGGTGGAGCTAGAACTCCTAAATTTGAAATGAGGGCCACCGATGGAGTGTAGAATAGATGTAGCTAAGGATTTTTTCTTTTTTGGAAATTCGAACTGTAGGTATCCGAAAAGTACGAAAAAAGGTACTAAATTTGGTATAAGTTCGTAGCACGTGAATGGGTGGAGCTAAAAACTTGAAATTTGGAATGCGAATTATGTTTGAGAAAAAGGGTCGATATAAGAAGGTGGTTTTGAAAGTGTCTACTCATGTATACGAAAAGTACTAAAGTGGTACTAAAATTTGGTACAATTTGAATTTAGAGAAATGGATGGACCTGGAAACCTGAAATCTGAAAGTAACATTACCGTCGGAGTGTAAGATTGTGGTACTTTGTGGTACTTTTATAAATAAGTTTACTTATGTGTACGAAAAGTATTAAATCGTACAATAATTGGTACAATTTGGATTTGGGTGAACCGATGTGGACGGAACACTGAAATTTGAAAGTTATATTACTGTTGGAGAGTATGATTGGGCTATTAATATGGTTGTGGAAATTCATACTTATGGGTACTAAATTGTACTAAATTTGGTACTATTTGAATTTTTGGGAGAAGTGATAGAGCTGGGATACTGAAATTTGGAGTTAGGGAATTGAATTTTGGGTAAACGAATAGACTTGGAATCATGTTGGCGTATATGATTGGGGTATGGATGATTGGGGTATGGTTAAAAAATTAACTAAGATGGTCAAAAAGAAAGCTTCCGGATGATGAGCTGGGCACCACAGTGATTCCGGCCAAGTCTACACAGGAAGATTACTGCGGCTCCAAAGAACGGAGTTTGGGAGACCCTGTTGCCCAACGAATGCAAAACTGATACCGATTGGTGTAGTGTGTCGGCACATGCCGACAATAAGGTACAGAGGCAGGCCGCAACTGAATCAATGTCCGACGATTGAGAATCTAACGATACCCCGACAATGGCGAACGACTCAAATGTCGGAACTGCACAAGAAGCATCTGATGCGAATCACTATGAACGTGCTGTATCATACATATGGAAATTCGAAAGAACCTATCCGCACGCTTTTTATCGAGAGCTTCAGATGGAGAGGATCTTCTTCCCGAAACAAATAGAAAGCCTCTAAGGAGATTTCGGAAACGATCAGAATAGTATAGTCGTCGAAGCCCAATGTCTCTGGCAAAGGTGTGGAACTTATTTCTGATCCCGAACCTAACCCGTGTCAAAAGACAATGCAAAATACCGTTGAGTACACCCCGAAACCAGCTGACATACATAAAGCCCGATTCTATGCCAATTAGCAAAGGTGTAGTGGTTGGTAGCAAGGTACTTAGTCGGAACAGTATTTTGAAGTGTTTTGTGTGAGTACCTGCCTACTGGTCTACCTCACAGTGGCTGAGCCACGGGCGGATATGCGCCCACCAGCGCACCAGCACTGAAGTGCTGTACCAATCGGAGAGCATGCAGAAGGCATACTCCCCTTGGTGAGGGTAGAAACCACAACCCTCACAAATCTCCCCAGAGGGCCACACCAACTGTCTGGCTGGATCAACAGATCCAGGGGCACCTGACACCCGCGGTACGGAAAACCTCCGCTCAGGCTCGAGACCGAAGCCTCTCCTAGTTCAGCACAAATCCAGGCTGGTATCCCAAAACAAAATAAACAACGGCAGCAAAAAACCGCAAGTGACAAGGAAGTACTTGCCACAGGCAGTGGCGACGTTGAACAAATACACACAACACAAACAATTAACATGCTGTCCTCACGGACAGATGTCACACACAAACAATCAACGAAACTGCCCTCACGGACACCCATCCATCGGAACAGGAAGATGGTCAAGTTAGCCAAGGAACAGTCGTCTTCTGGAGAAACGAGTATTGCCCCACAGTACAAATCTCGGAAGAGCATTTGCTCATCCGAAGGTCCACAAAATGACGATGACTTCGCGTCTGACTGACCCATCAACTACGTATGCGGCCCCCGCATTCGACAGCCCTATCCGTTCAAAGGTGTATAAAGCCATGTCTGAGTTTGGCATTCCTGCAAAATTAATTCGGCTATGCAGGATAACTTTAACAGGCACAAGATCAGCAGTTAAAGTCGGAAAGGACCTCTCGTAGCCTTTTATTACCGAACGAGGATTCAAACAAGGTGATAGTGACCTTGTGACCTTTTTAACCTCCTGCTGGAAAAGGCCATACGAGAGGCAAAAGTGAACAGAAATGACACTCTGTACACCAAACAACACATGTTACTCGCCTACACCGATGACATCGACATAATGTGTCGAACATTGAGAGCGGTAACATCCACCTTTGAACAAATTGAGAAAGAGTCTGCCAAAAAGGGTCTGGCAGTAAACGGCGAGAAGACCAAGCTGATGGTATCAACGCGCCAGACGTCCAGTAGACTCGGACGAACTGTGGAACTTGAGAACTACAGCTTCGAGGTAGTCAAAGATTTTATATACCTTGGTACCACCATAAACAAAACGAATGTCATCAGTTTTGAAATTCGGAGAAGTATTGTGATGGCCAACCGATGCTACTATTGTCTGAGCAAACAACTCAAAAGCAAGGCCACCTCCCGCCAGACCAAACACACACTCTACAAGACGCTGACACTACCCGTGCTGTTATACGGATCTCAAGTATGGATACTTACGCAAGCAGATGAGGCAGCTCTTGGAGTGTTTGAGAGAAAAAGTCTCCGAAAGATCTATGGGCCGATCTGCGTTGACGTCAGCTATTCTCGGACATCGACATTTTTAGACGTATTGAGCTGCAGCGACTACGTTGGCTAGGTCATGTTGTGAGAATGGATGAAGATGCCCCCCCCAGCCCAGAGGGCATAAAAAAGTGAGCCAGCTGATGGTTCGTGCAGAAGGGGACGGCCAAGAATACGTTGGAAAGATCAAGTTAAAGAAAATATCGTCAAAAATGGTCTTTCAAATTGGAAAAACTGCGCAAAAGACCGACGCGCCTGTAAATCTTTTCAAAGCTCGGCTTATGGAACGTATGTTCTGTCACAAGCCAGCTAAGTAAGTAAGCTCGAAAGGTAGGTTAATTTGAATTATGCCCATCAAAAGATGGCGCTGATGATGGGTTTTTAATAAAACAGCATACCTCATTCAATTTGGCTATAACTTTTTTCGTATCGCTGGTAGTCAACTGAAAATGGTATCATATGAAAGCTGTAATCGTATATTTTCTTGTGAAATAAATAAAAATTCATAATTAATTGAATATAAATATTATATCGAAGTTTCACGATTAGGTTTGTAAAGTATGCAATATTACATTGTATGGAAGGTACTGGAATGAGTAGAACGATGGGTCCCACCTTCGAACTTGATTTACGGTACGGAAGAAATATTAATTTGGATAAAATCAGTTACTCCTTCGAGAGTAATTGTGCGCTCCAGCCAACAAGCCAGACGGAAGCTATAGGATGTAGGGTACAGATACTTTTTTAATTATAATTTTAATTTATCCCTATTTTAACCGATATAAACCAATTTATTAATTTTTTTATTACTACTACTTATATATATTTGTTTGTTATAAAATTTATGAAATGCAAAATTTTCCTTATAAATAGAATAATATATATTTATATGTATATATTTAACAACTACAACTACTAACTAATTAAAAACAAAATGTACAAACTATATAAGTCTTCTTGTGTCCTATAGATGTCCTCTTTCTTTTTTGTATAAGGATGTGTGTATGTATATTTTTGTTACAGGGAAAAAAACTTTACAAAATTTTATATTTAATTCCAAAAAACCCCAAAAAAGTGAGGTTAGTGTTCAACTTTCTGGCCATATTTACTCCAGAAGGTGATATTACATTTCAGACGTTTGCCGGTGGTCTTTTCGAACATGGAACAGGTATCGAAGGGTGGACAGTACAAATGCAGAGATACGGCCGTGTCCGAATGGCTGGGATTTTCAACGCGATGTAGGCCCAAGTTGTCTAGAGAGAGATAATTGATGATTAATAGAGTTAGTGGTTAAGGGGAATGGCATTTTTTCTCTTACCATTAATATAGGCCACATCATTCAGCCCCATCGTCCTCTGTCCAATCACCTGCAGCGCATCATGATATTCAAATTCTCCATCCTCCGGTATGGCATCCAAATGATCCTCAGCCGTGGTATTCTCCGGCCATGTATACCTGGTCTCTGTCAATTCACCCTTTAACATTTTCATAAAACAATGTGAATCGGAATGATCGTGTATTGTCGAGCCATGACCTTCACCCCAACATAAAATCATTAAATTGAATTTTCCATTACCGGCATCCACCAGATTCCGCGTATACTTATAACGATCGAATTTGGCAAATTTCTTCCATTCCTTGGGATTGGATTTGTACGACAACATAATGTGATTGACCATTTCAATGTTGACATAATTCGTGGCGAATTCTTGATGCAGGGCAGCAATCAGATCGTTGAGGGTCTCTATCACTGGGCCATATTTCAATGGCTTTTCAATGCCTCGAAAATGGCGGGTGACCTCACGTAGGTATTTCTCCTGATCCATTTCGGTATCGATTTTGGACAAAGCCATTTTGAAACTTTGATGAACCTGGAAAACAACAAAAAGCCGAACAACAATATTAATAAAATTGACCAGGGTTATATGATCATAAATTTAATTTTTTTGAGAGTAGGAAGAGAGGAGAGACTAATCTTTGTCATCTCTTGCAGAATACAAAATAAAATCTCATTTCATAAAGAAACACTGATAAGCTTCCTGCCGCTCACGACCCGGAGATTTTTTCTTTTGAAAATTTCTTCTCAGTCAGTAACTTTTTTCATTTTTTTGTTAATTGACGTGCAAAAGATTATCAGCACAAGGCATTATCTTAGTGTGTGTGCAACACACACAAGAACCATCATCTCAATATGTGTGTGTGCAAAAAATTCGACCAACAACATCCCATATTTACCAATGTCCGCTATGTACGTCAGTATTTTTTAATTTGTCAAGGTGCCTAATTTTTACGATTCCGACATTTCATGGACCTCACATTTACCTATTGATCTAATTTCGAAAATTTCATTTCGAAAAATAAATCAGCAATGGAAATTTTTTCGTCTTCTTCAGCTGTTGCTGGAGAAATCTATGACAACAGCCACCTCTAATGCCCCACAGCCCAGCCATTGATAAGGAAATTCAAGAATGTAGCTTACAACGATTTCCAGCGTGTCTGGAATTTTCGCGAGATAAAGAAAAGCGAAAATTATAGAGTTTTGGAGATTTCAAAATCAGCTAAAAAATGTTCGGATTTCAAACCTGGAAAAAATTTGAGAATTAATAATTCTTAAAAATTTTTTTCCCAGAACTTTTCGCACTTCTATAGAGTCCCTTTCAACCTCTTCGGACGTCTGTCGGAGCTCTTCATCCTTTTGGGACCTCTATTGAGCTTCTAGTAACCTGTTAATACTACCATAAAGTTTCTATATAACTTGTTCCGACAAAACATAGAACTCTTTCCAAACTTTTTGGACCTTTGTAGAGATCTTCATGCCTATGAGTCATCTACAGATGTTCGTTATAACTTGTCCGATTCTAAAATATACTCATTTTGCAGCTTATTTGTTGGGCCTTACACAACCTTTCGCATCACTATAGTATTCCTCATATCTGGATCTGAATTTTTTAGAATTCCAATAACTTATTTCCACCACTTTAGATGGTTTTTGTCTCTGTTCAGATTCGTATGACGATTCTCTATAATTCTACTTATAGCCATTTCGGTCCTCTTTATGGTTTGTGGTAACCTGTTAGGACCACTATAGATTTTGTCATAACTTTTCGCACTTCTAAAGAGTTCCTTCCAACCTCTTCGGAGCTCTTCATCCTTTTGGGACCTCTATTGAGCTTCTAGTAAACTGTTAGGACTACTATATAACTTGTTCGGATGTCTGTAGAGCTCCTCACATTCAATTCCGATCTCATATGTATGTATGTAGAGATCTCCATACATATGAAACATCTACAAATTTTCTTTCCTATCCTCTACTCTACGAAGCTTCTCAAAATATGTGTGTCCAGATACCTATGACCAGTATAGATCATTTTATAACCTCCATAGGGCTTCTATAACCTGTTAGGATACATATAGAATAAATAGGAACATATAGAAAATTAGGACACCTAAAGACATACTTAAAGCTCTTTTCAACCTCTTCGAATCTCTGTAGAGACCTTTTTGAACTACTATATAACTTGTTCGGACCTCTAAAGAGCTCCTCATATTAAATTTCGATAAACATAGAACACCTTCCAAACTCTTCGGACCTATTTTTCGGATCTCTATATGGCTTCTTGTCACCACTGCTTGTTAGGACCACTATGAAGCTTCTCTTATTCAATTCTGTTTTTCTATTTTTCTTTAAAGAATCGAAACCTAGAAAAAAATATTCTTCAGATATACTTATACGCTCCTTCTAACCTCTTTCTATGTGCAATTCAATTACATCTACTAAAAAATGTATTTTTTAAAACATCCATGCTGTTATAGCTGCTAGAAAAATTTGAATATTCTTTAAAAAAATCCATGCCTAGAAAGCTGCTAGAAAAATATTCTTTAAAAACTCAACGCCTAGGAAGTTTCTAAAAAAATATTCTTTACAAAATCCACGCCTTGAAGGCTGCTCCTAAAAAAAGTATTTTAAAAATCCACGACTAAAGGATAGCTACTAAAAATATTCTTCAAAAAAATGCACGCCTAAAGGATAGCTCCTAAAATAGTCTTTTAAAAATCCACGTCTAAAGGAAGCTGCTAAAATGTTCTTTTAAAAATCCACGCCTAAAGGAAGCTGCTAAATTGTTCTTTAAAAATCCACGCCAAAAGGATAGCTCCTAAAAACAGTCATTAAAAAATCCACGCCAAAAGGATAGCTCCTAAAAACAGTCATTAAAAAATCCACGCCTAAAGGATAGCTCCTAAAACAGTCTTTAAAAAATCCACGCCTAAAGGATAGCTCCTAAAAACAGTCTTTAAAAAATCCACGCCTAAAGGATAGCTCCTAAAACAGTCTTTAAAAAATCCACACCTAAAGGATAGCTTCTAAAAATAGTCTTTAAAAATCCACGCCTAAAGGATAGCTTCTAAAAATAGTCTTTAAAAAATCCACACCTAAAGGATAGCTGCTAATATGTTCTTTATAAATCCTCGCCTAAAGGATAGCTTCTAAAAATAGTCTTTAAAAATCCACGCCTAAAGGATAGCTTCTAAAAATAGTCTTTAAAAAATCCACACCTAAAGGATAGCTGCTAATATGTTCTTTATAAATCCTCGCCTAAAGGATAGCTTCTAAAAATAGTCTTTAAAAATCCACGCCTAAAGGATAGCTCCTAAAAACAGTCTTTAAAAAATCCACGCCTAAAGGATAGCTCCTAAAAATATTCTTTAAAAAATCCACGCCTAAAGAATACCTCCTAAAAATATTCTTTAAAAAATCCACGCCTAAAGAATACCTCCTAAAAATATTCTTTAAAAAATCCACGCCTAAAGAATACCTTCTAAAAATATTATTTAAAAAATCCACGCCTAAAGGATAACTCCTAAAAATATTCATTAAAAAATCCACGCCTAAAGGATAGCTCCTAAAGGATAACTCCTAAAAATATTCATTAAAAAATCCACGCCTAAAGGATAGCTCCTAAAGGATAACTCCTAAAAATATTCATTAAAAAATCCACGCCTATAGGATAACTCCTAAAAATATTCTTCAAAAAAACTACGCCTAAAGGATAGCTCCTAAAAATATTCTTTAAAAAAATCACGTCTTTAAAAAATCCAAAAGCTCTTGAAGATATTCTTTCAAAAATCCACTCATAGAAGGCTGTTCCTAAAAATATTCTTTGAAAAATCCACGCCAAAAGAATACCTCCTAAAAATATTCTTTAAAAAATCCACGCCTAAAGGATAGCCCTTAAAAATATTCTTAAAAACACTCTGAAAAAATATTTTTGAAAAAATCTTATATTTCTTTAAAAAATTGACTGCGGGATGGCTGCCCGAAAAAATGCACTTTAAAAAATCCAAGTTGCCGAAAAAAAACTTTTAAAAAATCTAAGTTTTCGAAAATATTTTTTAAACGCCCATATCCAAAAATTTCGAAAAATTATTGTTTTTAAAAAATCATCGCATATATAGTTTCCCGAAAAAATATATATCTTAAGATTTACATTTAAATTTTTATTTATTTTTTTTTTTTCTTTGGAACTATTTTATAACCTGGAGATTATGTAAAAATATTTTCTTTCTTTCTTCATCAATAAGAATCACGAATATTATTTTTAAAAAATATAATTTGAAATTATTGATTGATTGTCAGATTAACTGATTATTTGTGAAAGTTCAATGAAATATTATGTTTTTTGTTGTTGTTTACATTTTTTTTCTTGTAAAAATAACTCACTTTTTTATATTAACAGAAATACAAATTATTAAAAAATTATATATTTATTAAATATTTAACCGAACGTAGCGTAACGGTTGGTTGTAATCTTCACGAGCTGATGTTTAACTGAATATTGATTTCAAATCCAGAGATTAAAGTAGGACTTAGCTTCTAGAGTCTATAAAATACGATTCTTTTGTTTTTGTAATATATATACATACAATGATTTTTCTATTTTTTTTTTTGCTTATTTTCGAAAAAAAAATATTTTACAGAGAATTGTTATTGTATTTTTTAAATCATTTTCAAAATAAAAAAAATAAAATAATTTCGCAAAACAAATAGATTTGATGCTGCTGCTGGTTATGATGATGGTGGCAACATACAAATTATCAGTTCACACTTGAGCAATACATAAGGTTCTATATACACACATAGAAAATAGATTGGGAGATTGGGAGAATTACTTGTGAACAGATTTTTTTACCAACAACAAAATTGGGTCTACATTTCATAGAAATTATGTGTTTTTTGGAAAGCCTCACATGCCATGACGTTGGATGTTGTTTTTTTTTTCATTTTTTGGAAATCGAACTTATCATCAGTCTTAAAAAGACCTTCAAAATTAACACACCCATTTTTGTTTGAGATTATAGGATTGCGATACGCAATTTGTATTATTATTTATTTTTTTCTAAAACATTTTGAGGAAAATTGTATTTTTTTTCAATTATATTTTCCAAATCTATGTTTAAAATCTCTGGATGTAGGAAGCATATAAGTAATCTTTGTACTTCCCTTTAAATGAAATACTTTATCAGCTCGTGATGTTTGTTGATTTTTTTCTGTTTCTAATTTTCCTATCTATAGTTCCGTGGCTAGGGTTCAGAGATAACTACTATTGTAGTTAGGTTAGAACACATGTCGATCTTTTCTACAATCGATGCAGTTCGAACTACTGAAGAAACATTGGCATTAATTTACATAATCTGGTATTTTTTATATGTCAAAATAGTTCCTTAAGAAACTTTTTCCAAAAAATCCTCTCCAACATAGGTGCTCGATAAATATATAAATATTCCCTAAAAATTACACTCCTAAAGGATTGTGTCCAAAAATATTCTTCAAAAAAAATCCACAGCTAAATGATAGCTCCTAAAAATATTCTTT